AGGGAAAGAAGTATCATAGCTTCTGTTTGAAAAATCATAATGTCATGTAAAGATCAGAGGCTGCCAAAAAAAAAAACCCCAGCACCCCCGCCTCCAACCCCCCCCCTCAACCCCCAAACCTTGAATGTTACTTTTGGTGCCCACAGTAAATGCTGTGTGGCATTTTAGTTCAAACATTTAGAGTCTACAGAGTAAGTCTAATGAATTTGTGTTGTAAAAACATATATAATATCCATAATCTTATGTGGATGCTTAAATAAAAAAAATCTAATTGCACATCTGTTGGCAGGTAAGTATTATTATTATTTTTGTGGAGAAACGGTTAAGAAGTAGAGTTGTTAATTAGGTGAACTACTGATGTTATTAGATTAGATGTGTTCTGTTCTTCTTATTAATAGTTTTTTCCTAATATTTCTCTTCCCATAGGATGTAAAGAATTTCTACTGATCTAAGAGAGAGTTTACCTAGAGCTATGAGCATAAAGAGACTAAGGAGCAGAGAGATCTGTGTGATTTAATAAAGTATGAGAATGGAGTTTTGTAGTGTTTTATTACAGACTTTATGGAGTCACGTATTTTCTTTAGACAAAGTACTGCATAGGAAAAAACCTACCCTGCACAGAAATATTTGCAGTTAATGTCTTGTTAACTTACTTTCACCAACGTGTGGACATGTACTTTACCATGTTGCTTTTATTTTTGTCTTGGTCACTAAACTTGGATTTTCATGCTTTTCATGCAAGTTTAGTGACAAGAAAATATGGTGTCTTAAATAGTTGAATATGGCACCTCTCAAAGAAAAGTCATAAATATATTTTTTTCCAGATACTTGTTAGGTCTGTTTTATGCTGCCATGTTACTACAGCACTTCTTCTGTTGAGAACTTGAATTTAAATGCTAGTTAAATTAACTCTTAATCTTTTTCAAGGGGGAAAATGTAGTTTCCCAGATATGCCAAAGTCATGTAGTTGTTTCATATGGCCATGAGTTGTATATGGTGAAAATCTTTGAAATAATAATTCTGATAAATTCTGGGTTTTGTGGGTTTTTTGTTTTTTTTTTTTGTTTGGGTTTTTTTGTGTGTGTGTGTCTTAAGGAAAAAAGTGATAAAAAAGAATGTAGCAAAACCTTCTGGCCTTGATGGTGGTCTGTGTTTTCACCTTTTTCTAGATCTGTTAAGCTTTGATGATGTAATAGCTACCTCAGATAATCTATCGCACCCTACTGCAAACCGACCCAAGATGCCTGGTAGGAGGCTGCCTTCACGTTTCAATAACAGTAGTCCTGTGAGTATATCGGGTGTGTTTTCCTAGTAGTGAACTAAGAACTAACTTCCCAGGAAACAGGGTTGAACTGGGAAACAGTCTTATGAACCATGTACCTGAGAGCGAAATGCAAAATGCCACAGAGGTTCAGTTCCTATAGACTTTATCTACAGGAATATCCATTTCCAGTGGGGGAAGTGTACGTTAGAGAAACAACACGACTGCGTTGCAGCTGAAGGAGTCTTTGTGTTCTGTGGGGTATTACTGCAATAAGTACTTAGCTCTTCTAGCATCACTGATGATGAAAGTGTCTTTAGTGCCTTACAAGCCTAACAATATATAGTCTTTGGCCACAACAAATTTGTAATGTAATGTTGCTGTAATGCAGGACTTGTGATCTCATGTGCTAAGACATGAGATTGTCAGACCATGAGAACCAGGGGGTGCAGAGTCCTTGAAATCAAATTATATCATCAGAAGTTGTATAGTTCAGTCATGCCAGTTACTCTGTACAGTTACTGCCTGTTAATGTTGCGTTTTACAGAAGCACCTACAGGCTCCCAAAAGCATGAAGAACTTGTCAAGTACTGCAGAGATGCTTGAAAATCCTGCCCAAGATTCCTATGTTTGATTTAAATTCAGCTGAATGAGTATTGCAGGGAAGGAAAGTTCTGACTGGCAGGGAAAGAAAACTATGGTAGTCTAGCAATTAAAGTTTGGTTATTTGGTTTTTTCTTTTTACTATTGCGTCTGTAGAAACACGTGACAGTTCTTTTTTGATTTACTCTTTTTTTTTTTTTTTAATTCTGAAAATCTTTTCATTTTTTATGAATGGTTTACCAGGCAAGTCAAAATGTGAGTCCAGAAAAAAATTTGAAGGTGCAGAAAGAAGAAAGTGCCAAACCAAAGCCAGTTGAAACAAAAAAGGTATGATAATAAGGAGCTAGAGAAGTACCAGGCACTAGGTGTTCTGTTCAACTTGCTCGTATTTCATGCAACCATCTAAATGCAAATGATTGTATTTAAATGCAAGTCAGCTATGTCATTTAGTATAAAGTTCATAGCAGAAATTTTATACTAAAGTATAAATGAACTTTATTCTAAAGTGCATCAGTTCTGATCAGAACTATTGTATCAGATAGCATGAAACTATGGTGGTATTTCCCAAATAAGCTTCGTGTCTGCTCAGCCTTTAGTCTCCTGACAGGCAGAACAACGGAGCAGATCAGAAGGGTGCACAAAAGATTGTTTATAATGAACTAATGGGCTCCGTTAAATCACAGGGTTTTTTTAAAGTGTAGAGAACTGCAGTGTGAATACTTTTTTTTAGTGACTACAGGAATGTCAGGGAAATGCTTAATAAAGAGTATAAAATAACTATCTCATATACTACGGAAGTCCATTTGAACTGGACATTGTTTTTTACCTTTTGGATAGAAAATTAAGGAAATTTGTGCACATGTAGCTCCCATACCGCTACAACCTGTATGCTGTAAGTGGTCAGTTCATAAAGATTTCATTTCTTAGCTTTCTACTGATTTATTTTTTCAGCCATCTGCATTCAGTACACCAATTCCATCTTCATCTCAGAGACCAAGTTCTGTTATACTCAACTTTTTTCCTGGAGACATCCAATTTAAAGGAGAAACGGATGATGAAAAAATTTCTGTGGAAGAGCTCAGGACTCAGATTAATGATTTGATGGGTTTAGTAGATGCACTGAAGAAAGAACATGGGTAAATATTTTCCTTCTCATCTGCAAAGGGATATATAGACATCTTCCAAATGTCTTTAATGCCAAACTTAAAAATAAAAAACTATTCTATATGAATATGTTAATATTAATTCAGAACTTCTTTCTTTAGAAGTTGATCCAATTATATGTCCTAAATACATGCAAATTTGATGTCAGAGTATTTTAGGAATTTGTACACGTTTTTTCCTTCCTACTTTGTGCTCCTGCATTCATTACAGCTTTTTGAAAATATTCCTTAAACAGTTAGTATTTTCACTGTAAGGAAAAGTAGAAAATTTTTGTGGTATTTAACATAAGTACATGTGCTAGCCTTATGTAACAGTGTACACAAGTAACTGCAGTATTGACATGACTGGTAGCAGGGAAAGATATTACTGAGCTTTTCAAATTGGTGATCATGGTGGCCCCGTCATCTGTGTGCATGTGGGTAGGGTTGTATTTGGAGAATGATGCAGAAGAAAAATGTAATTGGTGTTTGAGTAAACGTAGTAAAGACCAATCTGCGGGAAATTTACCTTTTCTCTTTAGTTTTACAGCACAGACATTTATTTTGGTACTATTTAAATGATGACTAGTGCTAACCAAACCGGCTTTAAAAGTGAGCTCTTGAGAGGTTATAAAGGATCAGGATCAGTTGGTTTCCAAAGCAAACTAGTAAATTATGACTTCTGGAGGTTAATGAACTAGTTCTTCAGAAACTTGATGATAATTCTTAGCACTTTCTTGCCTGAACATGGTTATGAAATAAAACATGCTTTAGGAACTTTCTATTCTAAAGAATTTCTATTCTCTATGTAGAAGTTGCCAGGTTATTTTGGCTTGAATTCAACTTTCCAAGTAAAATAACAGTACAAATTTTTAAGTAGCGTACTTAAAATTGTGATTATAAGTTAGGGATAAGTGCATAGTGGTGGGTAAGTGTTGAGAGTTGGTGGAAGCTTGTGGTCCACCAGTTTTGAGTACCAGTTTACTGGTGGGCATGTACTTATATGTAAGTTTTATTTATAAGATGTAGCATCAGACAGTTGTTATGTGAATTCCTCTTGTAAAATTTAAACAAGGCTTGTGCTTCCTGTTCTCAGTAATGTGAAATTTTTTTCACCTTTTAACTTGTATTTCTGATATCTTAACTTCTATTAGGAGAGAACTGGAAAAACTAAAGAGGGATTTGGAAGAAGAGAAGCTGTTGAGAAGTAATCTGGAGGTAATATTAGCAATTGGAGGGGATAAAGTTTAGAAGTATGTAGGCAGTGTTCTGGAATTTGATGCCATGGGAAAGTCTTAACGAACCTGCTCAACCTTTTTTTTTTTTTTTTTTGTTTTTTTTTTGTTGCTGTGTTACTGTGTGGTTGAATGAATCCCTCACAAGGCAATTGGATGTGTATAGAAGATTCACAGTTCATCTTAGTTCAGCTTTCTTTATCTGGAAAACTATTTTAAAAATAGGTATGGGTGTTGGGATGTGAGTTCAGTTTAGTGTTGCTGGATTCTGCTTTTTGTTAGAAATATGTCCAACTGGACATGTTGCAAGAGAGAAGATTTAATACTTTGCTTTTCTAAGACTTGAAGGACAAATTTACTTTATGTAATCAAAAGAAAAACAGGGCAAAAGTAAACTTTCCTAAATTTTTGATGAACTGTTTAAATATTAAGTGGATAATATGCTGAAAGAACAGAATGCATCTGAAAAATGTCCTTGTGAATGAACGCCACTCCTCTCAATTTATTGATGAAGAAGGCTACCTGCATTATAATATGATGCCATTAAGTAGCTAATAGGATGAGCTCATTGTAGAAAATTATTTCAGTCTGGTACAAAAGGGCATTTTATTTGTGAAATAGAACTTCTTATTGACTACAAAGCTACTTTCAAAACTTGAGAACTTCTGGTGAGTCCTCTTGTTAATGCATCTCTAAAGCGATCAATGAAATTGCCTTAAATAAGGCAACTGGGGATGAAGAGGAGGTAACTTCCATGTATCCTCTAAATCCATTTGAAGAAATACAAATTAATCATGACACGGTATTTTGCATGAAGACTGCTTTAGGAAGTTAGTCTGAGGTGATGATACAGCATTACTCAGGGACATGTCAAGTGATTTCACAATCCAGCTCTGATTGCTTTATTGAGAGTGAATTTCTCCAATAAGATGTACCAGAACTATAGGCAAATTTTTAATGATTTTAAATTCTTGTGAAATGCTTCTGTCTTACAATTTTATTTACTTCAGTGTCTTTGAAATATAAAGGTTATAATTTTGATGAAAGCTCTGAAGACTTTAGATTATTGCTGCTTTAATACTGACTTTTTTCTTTTCAAAATGTCCATTTTCCAGCTTGAAATAGAAAAATTGAAGAAAGCAGTGATGTCTACATGAAACAGCTATGGACTCAATGTTTTTTAACTCACCAGGAATTCAAAGCTGAACACAAGGAGAACTGACTCTAATTTCATAATAATGGATGCTGGTGTTCTACAGTCTTAAAGGAAAAAAATATAATAAAAAAAGGAATATAGTCTTTTATTCAGAGAAATAAGAAAACAAAAAAGAATAATGGTGTAATTTTTTTGCCAATATAAAAGAGGCCTTATTTCTTACTGTGCTGGAATTGCAGACCTTATTTTTTGGTTTGCTTGAAAATACTACTGAATCTGTATAGAAAGGAGAGGGAATTCTTAATAGATTTTTATTGAATACCTGTAGCTTAATTTTTAAAGAGATCTATACTATAAATAGGGTGATTTATCTTTACAACTAATCTGTAAAATAGTCTATTGGGAGGGATGGAATAACTGCATTGTAATTGTAGTCACTACTTTTCCCCTACACGCAAAAGGGAATATATAATATTTGTATAATTTTGGCAGTCTTACCCAGGGTTATGCTGTTGTGCCTGTCTGCAGTGAAAATATTAATAATATGCTGTTTATAAGTTGAGTAATGAGATAGGAATTTGTTAATGCAATGAAGCAGATGAAACTCCTATGCATTGTGGTAAGAACGAATGATCTAATCTGGGTAGTTTAGCAGAACATTTTGTCACTTGCACTATTGGATTAAAAAGGGATTTAGGACTGAATCATGAAGTTATGACAAAATTAACTTTTAAAACCACAGAATGAAATACAGAAACAAGACTAGAATCCAGTCTTAACTCAACCTGTTGTGCCTAAAATATTACAGCATGAAAAAGTAAACCTTAAGTCACAATGTCTGTGCTTCTGTGTATCTAAACTGAAGTCATCAGTCTTTCTAGTGGTTAAATATGCATCTTGATCTGTTTTTACAATAGTTAGGTTTTGTTTATAACATGTCTCCAAATAAATCCCTTTGGAACTTTGATACTCTCAAAAGGTCTCAATATTTATATATTTATGCCATAAACTTTATCAGTATATTATGTACCTCTAAATTTAATAACAACTTTGTATTTTAATGAGTGATTCAAACAGTTGCTTTGACAGCATTGTGCTGGTTTCCACGACAGCATCTTTCACATTTTATGGAAAACAGTTGAAATCTTGTGGATTGCCATTATCTTTAACCCCTGAGCTCAACACAGTGCACCAGAATAATATACAAATAATATGCAAAGTGATGGGAGACAATGATATTTATTGCTGTGTTCATTTGATTAAAGAATTAAAAACCATACAGCTTTAGAAAGCCAGTCAAATGCATTACTTCTATTAGTAATCACCTGATCTCCTTTTGGTCTACTAAAATTTAAATGACAAAAACATGCCACATAGTTTGGCAACTTCACCAGTAAGATAAGTAATTAAGTTTCTATTCATGGGAATAGTCATAAATACAGTAATTATTTAGTATGTCACTTGAGCAAGTGACATGGAAGTGTTACTTCTTGAGAGTATACTTTTTCCGCAGTTGATGCATCATAAAATACAAACATCAAATAGTCAATTGGAGGATGTTTGTCAGTTGCTGATTTAAATTGTTCATAAAATTTGATTAATATACTATGCAAGTATTAGGTAATATTTGCTAGTCACATTGCTAATAAGCTGATTCAATATTAATGCTTTTAACTTTTAATTGCCTAGATGCATCGCAAATGAAGACTTGAGCCAGATCTTTATATTGAGGAATAATGTGCAGCAGTAACGCTTCATGTCAGACACTAAACTCTTACTTAGAATTCATACCTCTAAGTCAGATGATGAAAAGCAAGAATTGAGCCTAATGGAATAGCCAGGTTTGTTACACAAGCTCTTTACTGTTATTAGAGCATGAAACAAATCTTGGAATGGATTACTCTACAGAAATTGTGTCTGCAGGTAAGCTTGTAGCAGGCAAACGGAACAAGACAATCAGTTAAAACACAAATGAAAGGTGTTCGTTATTTAATGGCCTTTGTTCGCTATAGCAATAAATGACCCAAGTGCAATGACTTGATTTAATAAAACCCTCCTTTAAAAGTCGCTGCTATGAGTATTTTTAGCCATAAGGAAGTTGCCCTGATATATGTCTGTCTTGTTTTCAGCTAGTGTTATATACTAGAGTGGAGGGGGACAGAGTAATGGTTTTGAAGACATTCCACAGTACAAGTTCCTAAAAGCAGTATGCTTCACTGACTTGTTTACCGGTGCTGTAAAATGATGCATGCTATCCAAACTCAGCAAATAAAATAAGTTTAAAGACCTGTTGAAATGTCTGCTTAGTTTTGTTCAGGAATGTTTCGTATGGCATTAAATTCTTTGCAGGAGGAGATAGGGGGGTGGGAGCAAAGTGTATTGTTACTTATATAGTCCCCCTTTGAGACTTTCAGATTTTAGCTTACTCATTGGGATGCTCTGGTTCCTGATTGTCAGGATGGCTTAGGGTCCAAACAGCTGGAAAGCTTACTGTTTTTCTTTGCAAGTGTAACTGGGAATCTTAATTTCTCAGTATCTGTTTGTTCCCTTTTTTTTTTTCTGTTAGTCCATATTGAACTGACCTTACTGTGCATCTTCAGAACCTTTTTTTAAGATCCCTATTGCCACTCAGTAACATGGATAAATGCATGTTTGAGTCACTTCTTTAAATATACAGTGAAGAACTGAAGATTGAGTGTGGCATGTTAAAAGGCAAATGAAGAACTGAACAACAGAAGGGTGTTTTTAAACTGCAAGGTTTTTATTCAATCTTCATAACATTCTCTGAAAAGCTTTTGTTTGCATACAAGGTACGGTTTAAAAAAACTACAGGTCTACTTATTTTATTTTTTAAAATTTATTTAAACAATCACCATGAAGATAACATTTTTAATTAATGTTGCTTCAGAGGAATGAAGTTTCTAATGAAAACCTGTAATGTATTGCAAGGTTTGACTTTTGAGTTGTGTAGCAAAGTATCTGTTGAACTTTAATGAATACAAGGCATTTATTTAAAAGTCATAAATTAGCAGAAGACTGTTAACTCTTTCTGGAGGAAATGATAAAAACAGATTTTCACAGCTGCCTTACTTTTGACTACTATTAAAGTTCTCTTGAGATGTTCCTGATTGCTGCTTGTTTGCTTTTTCAGAGCAGTGTCAAAGCAGCTGCTTGTATATCTTGTGTAATTGGATTTTGCAAGAGCTGAAAAGACAAACCACTCCCTTTTGGGTGCCTAGGCACATACCTCCCAGTGTGAAGAATGCAAACAGCCTTGACCAGCTTGTAAAGCGTGAGACTGATGCTGCTGGTTCAGGGTTTGGAGTACCCTCCTTGCTTGTTGGATGTCATGGTTTGAATATCTTTCTAAGCCCTAGGAAGCACAGATCGCACCTCTTCCTTCTGGGGGAAGCATGTGTATGTGTCTGTTGAAGTTTGCCAGCCTTTGTGTCCTTCAGAGTACTATTGCTTAGGTTGAGGAGGTGTTTGAGAATTGAGGTTGTATTGAGTCTTGCCATCATAGCAGGGGCTGGGGGGAGTGTAGAAGCACAACCCCAAGTGCCTAGGGGAAGAAGCCTTTTGAAACAGGTGTTCATACCCTGACATGATCTGGTCTTTGGGCCTTTTCTGACTTAAGAGGTTGTTAAGGTGCCACCTTTTAATTCATCTCTACCTGGTACTGTATCAAGAGCAAGTCATTTAACCTTCCCAGGTGGGTTGTGTTGGCTATGTCTAATTGTGCTTGGCTTAATTCCTGCTTGATACCAATGTGAGATGCAAGGCTGTCTATATCAATACAGAACAGTAAATAATACCCACCTTTAGGCTAAATCTGGAGACCTACCTTGAGGCTGAGGACTGACTGAAGTTGTGGTAGCAGACAAAACGACATTACTTCAGGAAACATACAAGCTCATGACAAACGCGTTGCAGGACTGTAGAAAAAATTAGTGAACAGAGTTCTTCTGTGAGTAGAAAGAGCAGTAGGAATTGCTCCTCTGTTATGATAAACTACTTGATGTAAATTATTGGCTTTTGGAAGTCCTCAGAAAAGGAGGAATGGAATTGAGCCAATATTAAGAGAGCCAACGCTGAACACGGCACAAGATGAGACAACTGTCACCCCTTACCATGGGTGCAGCCAGTAAAGAAAATATTATTTCTTGCTCATTGAGCTTTTTAGCTGCACAAGATAGTGTCAATAGTGTCATCTTTGATTTATGAAGAGTAATGCATTAACTTGACGAGGTTTTGATCATGAATTTTTTTTTTTGGTCTTTAAAGTCTAGAAGATCTCTTAAATACAGAAGAGCAGAAGATACCTCCTCCACCAGGAGGAACGGTACAAACCACGCAGGCGTGATTCATCTGTGTGGACTCCCAGCAAAATTGGCAATCTGGCAGTTTTGTGGGTGTGTAACTTGTTTTGTCATTTTGCAGTGCAATACCTTTATTGTCATCTGCAGGTTCCTCAATGTTAATCCAGTCGGGCAAGAAAAGAAGCAGGCTGATGCCCAAGGTTATTTCTTCATGGGAAAACTCTAAATGAATCAGAGCACCCAAGCAACGCTGGGTAAGACCGTAAGAGTGAGACTGGGGCACGATGGCAGCAGATGAATGGCTAGGCACTCGCCTACAATATCTTGAGGATCTCTGGCTGTGTTAATTTTGCTTACAGTAGAACCCAGACTTCTGAAAACGGTGAGTACTATCACAAAACAACATTTTCCAGAACTGCTTGAAAATTATCAATGGTCTGTGAAATTGGTTCATTCGTAATCTAAAATGCACCTAACTGCTTAGGCTGTTTTTCTTTGCTTATTTCCTCAGTTTTATATTCTCCGTATGTCTGTGGAAGTAATTAGATATCTTAATTATCCTCTGATCTTTTTGCTTGCAGTTTTGTAATTGGTCTGTAATCAGTGTTGTCACTTTTAAGAAAATCTGAAATTTTCTTATAGCTAAAGTTACTGTAGAGGTCACTCTGCTCTCAGAACTTGCTTTACTTAAATTCACATTTTCCAAGTGTGATCCCTTTAAAAATACAGCAAATACCATTCTGTATAATTAAGAGTTTTAATTTTTATCCTTGGATGGCCATATTGAAGACTCTTAAGGCTCCTGATGCAGCCTGTATAACTTAACAGGTAGCAGTGGCAAGTGATCACGTTATGGTGGCTTATGAACTGTTTGGGTTTTAAGCTAGGCATGTAGCCATTCAAGCCCTAAAAATAATAAATTAGGTTCTGTAACAAAGGATTTAATATTTTTAAAAAATGTTAAATACACACAGTGCAAGATTGCAGTGAGTGAGGAAATATATTTGTCTAGCTAATTATGACAAGCCCAGTGTAAATTTTTATTTTGTACAATATGTGCTTGTAATTTCTGTGCAGGATACCTTTCCCCGTAAACTTAACTATATTTTGTCTTCTGGAGCAGTGGAGAGGGGAAAGCTGTAACCCCAAGGTGATGGAGAACCCTCTGGCCAGAGACCTTGGCTCCACCAGCCTGGGGGTGTAGTTCCCAGAGTTGTCACTGCTTGGGCTGAGCCCTCCGGTAGCTGTGACCATGTGGGGCTAGGCTCCCTTGCAATGCATCCTGCCAGAAGTGAAAAGCAAGAAAGTGCTTGGGGTAGAGGAAGGAGGGATAGTTTTGTAGGATTTTACAAAACACTTTGATTTTTTTAAACCAACAGGAGTTGCAGAGTAAGGGCTTTGAATTTAAGGCTATGATACATTAACCAACATATGGATTACTTTTTAAATAGATGATTAATTTACCTTTTTTTACTGTTTTAAGAGGTTCTGTCCTCTCCTG